TTGCTGGGGTTTTGGTTGTTTCCATGTTTTTGCCATTGTGGATATTGTTGCAATAATCAGGTGTACCTATGTCTGTTGAATGATATTCTTAATATATTTAGGGTATATATCCAGTACAGAAATTGCTGGCTCATAAGTTTGAGGATTTGCATTTGTTTTGAGAAGTGCTATATTGATTTCCATAATGGTTATACAATTCCACAGTCTCACCAACAATGTAAAACATTCCTATCTCACAACATCTTCTCCAGCATTTGCTATTTTCTGTTTTACTGACTTTTGTGAAAGTGTCAGTATGAAGTGATATCTCATTGATGCAATTTGAATTTTTCTTATTGCTAATGATCTTAAATACTTCTTCATGTGGTTGTTTTCTGCTTGAATGTTACCTTTAGTAAACTGTCTAGTCATATATTGTGCCCTTTTTGATTGGTTTATTTATATTTTTCTTGGTAAGACATAGTTTTCTATAGATTTTGGAGAATATGTTGTATATTTTAAATGAACAGAAACTAAGCACAGGGAATAAGAGATGGCTCTCTTTGGTATTGTCTGCAAGACTTCAATGTTAAAACAGTAGGAATTGTTCATTATATTAACAGGCAGTTATCCAAATTGCCTTGCCCTGTGGGAGATTTGGAAAATCAGCTTTATCTCCAGGCTCATGTGAAGTACATGGATTTATCTTCGCCCTTATTTAAAAGTAGAAAATTAATTCTGGTTCCAATTAACCTGAACACTACAGTAGGCTTTTATTGCCTTTGCACCAGAAATAGGAGTGAGCCTCAAGTTCCCAGGTTGATTTACTCATATCTGGGTAGTAGAAAAAGTCCATCACTCAACTTAGAACCTGCCATTTACGTGCAAAGAAGGATCAGAATGTCTTGTTGAATTGTGGAATATGCTGCATAATATAGCGAGAGTTAAATTTCAGTGAAATCAAGTAAAAAATATAGCTATAAAACAAATTATTTTATATAGATTATTGAATACATTAAAGTTGAATAGCTTCTGAATTGTCTGGAAATTGCATATCTCTGGGTTTTATGTACTTTAATAGCAAACAATATTATCATCCTGATTTTCTGCTGAGCATAGACAATTCAAAAAGTGAAAAGATGAAGCAGACATTTTACTAATTTTCTTTCTGATGGCTTGGTTAGTGTATCAATTTTCTTTTTATTTATGATAAATTCAATTTAAAATTGAGTTTCAATATCTCACATAATCAATCAGAGATCATTTATTTAGTCAAAGACTATTCATAATAAGAATTTCCCTTGAAAAATTAAACTGCCTGTGATTTTGAATATTTCATTTCCTAAATGTATAATTGCTATTCATTTTCATTTAAAAAAACCCATTAAATTAGGAGTTTCAATTAAATATAATAGATTGTGGGATGATGTCCAAAGTGAGATGAATTTTGTTTTCAATTCATACTTATTTAACAATTAAAATCATATCACTTAAAATTATTTTGAATAGATATCCCAATATTTAGCTAGTATGAAACAAGGACAACCCCTGCTTTATTAAATGAATTGCACAGTGTAAAAAGCATCGTTTGACATTTGGGCTCAGGATTAATTAATGTTCATATATTTGGCCACTACAAATAACTTTGACCATCAGTGAGAATGTATTAAAATAGAACTTAATAGATGATTTTTTATTCATAGAATATACTTGTGGTTAATCACTTGACTAATAGCAATGAATATTATTTGATAACAAATTAATTTGACTAATGGTAACCAAATGGTCAGAAGTTCTAACACACCAACTGCTCTTGAAAGAAAGATGTGGTTCTTTTCTGCTAAAAAGATTAGACCATATGAAGAAATCATATGAGGCAGTTCTGCTCTGTGTTATATGGCCAATATGAGTTGGAATTGACTTGATGATAATAGAGTTTAGGATATTATGCTAATATAAGAACAAATAAGCTCAACTACACTAAACATAGGAGTCACTATGTGGTGCAAATACTTAAGTGTTCAAAATACATTCCTGTAGCAATACATGTTGACTCTATGTTCAGCAAATAACCAAGTTCTAACCAAGTCACATCCATGTTATATTCCTAGGAGAAGTTACATTCATTTCTCTCCAGGATTAATGGATTATATTTGTTGGCATTGCCTATTTTTGGGCAAGTCCCAATAACATTGTTACAGTTATCTCAGGAAAACATACACTAGGAAATTTTGTGTCAGTTAGTCTTACTGATTTTCAAAACTGCAAGGAATGCTTCCACATCCAGACCTTTGTATTTTCCATTTCTTCAACCTGAAATGATTTCAGGCACAAAACAGGATGGGCTTCCCTCACTTCTCATTGTTCTTAAATAAAATATCATGTCTCCCCAAATCTGTGATCACCACAAGGGGACCAATCCTGTTGCCCATCCCTATCTTGCTTTTTTGTGTTATTTTCATTCTAAGAGTTATCATCCCAGAGGACATATTTTACTCATTTAATTTGTTTGGTCAGCTCCACCCACCACTAGAAAATGAGAATAAGTGCTTTTATTTATTTATTTGCTAAGGACTACATCTGTAGTGTCTGAACACCTGTCTTTTTTCCCCCTACTTGTTTTTTTTTCATTCTAGATCCCCAGAGGGGGTGCACCATTCCTGGAAATACTACAATACTAGATTGATGCATGGAATGGACAGAGCAAGCTCTTAGTCCAACCCCTGCTTGCAAAAATACTTTAATATGCTGTCCTTGGATAGAGGACATATCAGATATTAAACTGATAAGATCAGATACTTCACTTGATCTTAGCCAAAAGGATGAGAAGCGATATACATGTCTTATACTAGCCAAATGGAAGGTGCTCAACATATTTATTAAATGAGAGGATTCGGAAACAGCATCCTAGTAGCATTTTATTCTCTAACATTTTTCCCTTCCACAGTTTTGTCTAAGTTCACAGACTCAGTAAGTTGTGGAAGCAAAGGTTTATACATAAGCTTCTGTACCCTAATGGTATATCCGTCATATCCTTGTAATGTTAGCCTTCAACTTAGCATCCGTAGTCTCCCAAAATATCCAGAACATAATAATAGAGTGGATGATCAAAAACGTTATTTCTAAAAGATATTGTATTCTGCCTTAACTGCAATGAGATGAACAAATACAGAAAAGTAGAAAATGGGAGAAACTAGAGAGCAAGTTCTTGTTAACGAGCAGACGTCAAGGTTGAACTGGCAGTTTCTAGGGGAATCAGGAAATCTGATCAATACTTTTGCATCAGGAAATTAGACTGCATCCCTTCCCACCAGAGACAGCTTTCTTCCTAAGGGTTTGGTTACCTAGCATGATGAAATGCTAAATACAGGTGCATCTCAGGCTGATATAAGTGAATTATCATATAGGGATATATATTTTTAATTTGAACCTAAAATTTTATTCTCAGAAACATTTGCTTAGAGCAATATTATGGTAACATTAAAGAAAATAGCACACTTATCTTACCTTAATGTACTGATTAAAGAAACATATTTTACACAAAACTTAAATAGTGTATAGCATAATTTAACTAGAACATATTTATACTTCTATGGTTGTAATCAGAGTATGTGAACTATCTTGTATTCTAATTTATTATGCCATCTTATTATCACCTAATGTATAAATTATATTCCATTGACTAATAAGTTGACTAACAATGACATCTACCTTTTTTTTGTTGACAGGTTAGGCGCATCTCTGTGTCAACTCTTCTATTTCAATGCCAAACATAATTATAGGTGTCATTTAAGAATGGCTGCAAATGTTTTGTTTTGCTGATTTTCTGTTCGTTTGGGGGGTATTTTTAGTTTATTTTTTATTTGATCCGATTTATTGAGGTATATTTCATACACCATTTAACCATTGACTTAAAGTGTACACTTTATTTTGGCAAATTATACTATGTTGTAATTGAAAGTTTACATGTTACATTAGTTTCAACATGTGACCTCTTCCTTGGGGGATGGACAACAGAAAAGTGGGTGAAGGGAGATGTCAGACAGGGCAAGATATGACAAAATAATAATTTAT